TGAGTGTGTCCTACTGCTGCCATGACCTCTGCTTTGTAGGTCCTCACGGATGCCCAGTCTCATGGAGGGAGAGGCTGGCTCATGGAGGCTTCCTGCCAGGTCTAGAGCTTGTTGTCTGGATCACAAGTGTACGATGGATGGATGGGGGTGGATAGACGGATAGGTGGAAGATGGGGAGAGCTGGGTCCTGGATGGGTGGATGGGTGATGGTTAGGTAGATGGGTGATGGTGGACATATAGATGAATATAGATGGATAGATGGATGATGAGTGAATGCAGGTGTGGATGGATGGATGGATGGATGGATGGATGGATGGATGGATGGAGAGAGACAGAGATATGGATGGATGAGTAAGTGTGGGCTGGAGGATTGACAGATAGATGCATGGATGGGGGATGGGGGATGGATGGATGCATGCATGCATGCATGCATGCATGGATGCATGGATGGATGGGTAGATACATGGATGGATGAGTGATGAATGTGTGGACGTGATGGATAGATGGATGCACGGAGATAGATGGGCAGATGGATAGACAAGGACACACGGGTTGATGAGTGAGTGAACTGGAGGATGGATATATGGATGAATGATGGATGGAGATGGACATAAGAGGACAGAACAATGGATGGATGAGTGTGGGTTGGAAAATGGGTGCAAAGATGACAGAGTGGATTCCTATAAGACGCCTTGTCCTTCTTCCTAAAAGACAATGCATCTAGGCCACTTGGCCATCCTGGAAAAGAACCACAGCTTCCTTAAGTTCGGAGTGGACCTTAGAAGCGATGCAGCCAGCTCCAAGAGCCCCAGACCTTATTGGACACTTACTGCCAGCCACTGGATTAGGGCTTCACATGCCTGGCCTCATTTCCACCTCATGGCAACTCATTTTATAGAAGAGAGACAGAGCCTCAGAAGTACTGTACTGTGCTGGTCCAAGACCACCCCACTGGCAAACAGCTGAACAGAGTCTCAGATGCCACCAGGCTCTGTGTGCGCCCCCGACTTAGCCATTCAGCCAATTCCAACTCGTGGGGACCCAGAGGACAGAGGAGAGCTGCTCCCTAGGCTTTCCAAGGCTGTCAGTCTTTACAGACGCAGACAGCCTCGTCTTTCGATCACAGAGCAGCTGGTGGGTCTGACCGTGCTCAAGCAGGGCTACTTATCCTGAGACACCAAAAAATCAAACTCACTGCTTTCGGGTCAATTCCAACCCCAAGCCACCCCATAGGACAGAGTAGAACTGCCCCTGTGGTTTCCCAAGACTAACTCTAAGAGAGGAGAAAGCCTCATCTTTCTCCCCCTGGAGCAGCTGGTGGTTTTGAACTGCTGACCTTGCGGTTAGTGGCCCAACACATAACCACTGTCCCACATTACAGATGAGGAGGCAGGCACAGACACAGTGATGAACTTGTCCAGGCACCCTCAGAGTCCTCACCCAGCACGAGGAGGACGGGGTCAGAGGAGGAAGAGAAGCGGTCATGACGTGAGGGTGTGTGTGTGGGGGTGGGGGGGCGGAGCAGGGTTGCAGGAGACGCTGTGGAGACTCACAGACGTATGGGCTCTGGGGCGCAGCGAGCATCGGGGACAGGGCGCCCTGTGGGGTGTAAGCAGCTGCTAACCCAGGCATGCTGGTGAAGGCAGGCCTGGTGATCCTCCCTCTCCGAAAAGGCAGCCATTGGCAGGTCTAAGGAGCCCAGTCTTGCTCTGACATACGGGGCCTCCCGGAGTGGGAGCTGTCTTCCTGGCATCAGGTACTGCTGACCTTCCGGGGTGGGGGTGGAGGGCGCACCTGCAGAAGCAACAGGGGTGACTCAAGGTCCCACAGAAGAGAGAGCAAGACAGGCCTGTGGGGGTGGGGTGGGGGGCTGGGAATGAGAGAGAAGCCACCCTGGGTGTGGGTAGGTGGGGCTCTCCAAAGCCCCCCAGGAGCCACACAATGACACCACTGTCCTTCAGCCCGCAGGGTGACGGGGAACAAATCCCAGCCCTTCACAGGCAGCAGGCTTTCTCCTGGAGGGCCAGCGAAGGAGCGTGCTTTCCAAAGGGGCGTCCAGGGACTCCCGTCTGGCCCGGCAAGGAAATGCCACTCCATCATGGCTTCCTTTCCTCCCCTTGAAACCAGCAGAACTTCCCTTCGCCGAGCGTTTCCTGAACAAAGGCAGCAGTAGCTGGAGAGAACCGTGCACGTGCGGTCTGGTGGGGCTGCAGGAGGCCCTGGACAGGGCTCCCGGCCAGGACACAGGCCTGTGCAGGACTGGATGCTCATGGACAGGGTTGACTGGGCGTGGGGGGGGGGGGGGGGGGGGGGGGGAAGGGGGCTGGGAAGTCAGGACCTGCGTTTCTTCCTTCCATCCTCCTCTTCAAAATCGGACCCTCACAGAAGGCCGAGGGCCCTCCCTCGCCTGCGTCACAGACAGAGGAACTTGGGCTGGGGACGTGGTGTCTCGTTGGGCACAGACCCTGGGCTTCTGGGCAGGTGTTTACTACGGTGTTTACTACGGTCACTCACCAGCTTGCACTGATCTCAGTAAAGCTGCCTGGCCATCCCTTAGGGAAGACCAGTGTGCCCACGTCACAGAGGAGGAAACGGAGGCCTGGGGAAACCTGCCCCGGTGACAACGCTTGGGGGAAGCAGGGACCACGTCTGTTGAGCTCACAACTCTCAGCCCCTACTGATGTCATCACGATAATTGGATCCGCTTTGTTCTTGAAAGAAAGACAGAAGGACACCTCCACACAGAAAGGGCTGGGAGGATTTACAAAGCCCAACCCCCCGGCAATCCGGTCCATTGAAACTCACGGCAGCCCTATAAACACACCCAAACCAAGTGCACTGCCACCGGGTCAATGCCGACTCATGACAACCCCCCTGTGTGCTTCGGAGGCTGTCAGTGTTTACGGGGTACAAAGCCCCAACTCTCTCCCGCAGAGCTGCTGGTGATTTCGAACTGCCCACCCTGTGGATCGCAGCCCACCTCACACTGGAGAGTAGACTGCTCCCTACGGTTTCTGAGGCTGTACCTCTTCACAGACTGCTGAAAGCACACCGACCTGTCTTGGGAGAAGTACAGCCAGTCGGCTCCTTACAGGCAAGGCTGACGAGACTTGACCTTACATCCTTTGAATGTATTGCCCGGAGAGACCAGTCCCGGGAGAAGGGCTTCCGACTTGGTGAATAGAGGGGCCGTGGAAGCGAGGTAGGCCCTCAAGTGGCTGGGACAGTGGGCACGGGCCCAGGAACCATCGTGAGGGTGCATGGCACCTGTCAGTGCTTTGTTCTGTTGTGCATGAGTCGCTGTGGGTCGGAAACGTCTCGATGACACTTAACAACCACAAGAAATCCGTATGGGAGCAGACAGCCTCATCGCTCTCCTGCCGAGCAGCTGGTGGGTTTGAACCACCAACCTACCTGGTGGTTAGGCAACCCAGTGCTTAACCCACCGTGCCACCAAGGCCCCTTGGCTCAAAGGGCACACAGCTGGACAAATCGGTCAGCAGGCCCGTTGGCTGATGGGTTACAGAGGCTTATCTCTGAGCTCTGCCCACCATCTCTCAATATTCCACTACAGCACGCCCGCATAGTTGAAAGGGAAAACGCCTCATTTTGAAGAAAGACAGTGAGGTGGGAGAGAAAGCGGTAGACCAATGCCAGTTGTCCCCGAGGGAACACTCCCCCACTCTTGCCCCAAGTCCCCTGAGTGGCCACCACGGCTGCCCTGGGTGCCCAGAGCCAGAGCCCGCCCTACCTTTCTGACTGCACTCCATTCCTGAGCGAGCCCACATAGTTTTTCTTCTTGTCAATGGGCATCAGGTCCACATAGCCCCCGAGGTCATCCCTGATGACGCCCGCGTGCACAGCTGTCCGGCAGATGCTGGAGGACTGAGGACAGGGAGAGCCGGGGTCAGTGTCAGCCTGGGGAGCAGGGAATGGACCACACTGGCCCCTGCAGTGGGAGGGTTGTGTCCTCCGCACAGACAGGACCACATTCCCAAGCCCCGGAGACTGTAGCCCTGCTCGTGTTACAGAAAGGATCTTTGCAGAGGTGGTTAAGGTGAAGGTCTCCGTGTGAGACCTTCCTGGATGGGCAGGGCTTCACCCCACAGCAGGAGTCAGGAGTCAGTCTATGCGAGGAGAGCAGGGAGGGCTAAGAGGAGACCCACAGGCGAAGGCCATGTGAAGATGGGGGGCAGGCAGAGATGGAGGCCAAGTGAAGTCCACGCTTGATGGGAGCCCCTGGGAAGGCTGGGTGCCTCGGAAGAAAGGCCTGGTGATCACCTTCCAAAGAATCAGACCTTGGGAACCCTGTTCTGACCGCATGGCTTTCCACGTGCCGGAGAGGGGGACGAGGACACAGGAACTCCAGGAGGAAGTGGGGTGCCCACACGCTGTTATTTAGGGTGGGGGTGGGGAGGCCGCAGCCACTGTCAGGAAACAAAACGCATTCAAATGGCTGCAGGGAAAACCCGTTCGCTCTGTCAACGTTCATCCAAACCACCCTAAAAAGTCCAATTTTTAAAAAAAGAAAGCAAAACAAGTTTGATGGTTCTGTAAACCATTAACCTGCCCGGCTGCTGAGCCAAAGGCTGGGAGTTCCAGTCCACGCAGAGGCACCAGGAAGAAAGGACTGACAACCGCTGTCAAAAGATTCAGACATGGATCGAACATGGGCTAGATGAGGAGACCATGTCAGGGAAGTCGGCATCTTCCCAGCTCGGAAGGCAGGAAGGGGCAGGAAGGAAGGAACGGGAGTGAGGGAACTCTGGGAGGAGGTGGGGAGAGGGATGCTCACACAGACAGGCGGCCGCAGAGGACACGAACAGGAAGGGTTGACCGGGAATGCCGTGTACTTTGTAAACTTCCACCCAGATAGCAATCACACAGTAAACACACAAAAAAACGGGCTGTTGAAAATCCTACTCCGAGAGCTCCCAATAAAATGATTAAGAAGCAAAAACAAAAAACCTAAACAGAAGACAAGAGAACCCTGCCCTGAGTTTCTGGGAGGCCCAGGGCTGATGGCAACTCAAAGGCAAATGGAGTTACATGAGATGCTACAACCTCCTGATGCCCCGACCCTTTAATACACTTCCTCATGTGGTGGTGACTCCCACAACCATGACATTATTTTCATTGCTACTTCATAACTGTCATTTTGCTACTGCTATGAATTGGGCGACCCCTGTGAAAGGGTTGTTCGACCCCCGAAGGGGTCATGACCCACGGGTTGAGAACCGCTGTGCTACAGGAAATGGAGCCCCAGGGGCTCGCTGGCACATGGACAGCGTGCTGGGTGAGGGCGAGGACCCTTGTTCTGGGGGCCGGGGCTGCTGAGAGTGGGGCGGAGCGCCTGCGTCTGCAGGTTCTGCTCGGACCTCGCCTTTCTGAGCACCGGGACCCTGGGGCCCAGTGAAGCAGGAATTTCAGAGACAACATCGTGCTGTGGACACTGTGAGCCTAAGATCTCGCCTGGGCCAGATCTTTCTCCCGAGATAGCACCGCTTGTCAATCAATGCACATGCCGCACACCTGCACACCTATACACCTGTACACCTTAGTGCTGGGCGGCCTCCGCTTCTCTTCCTCCCTTCCTTCCACCCACCCCCTGCCTCTCACCAGATTTCTGTATCAGGTACAAGGTGTCTCCTGGAAGTTTACTAACCCTCGGGTCAGCCAAGCAGCGCCACGACTTGACAGGTGAGCCAGGTGTGTCTCTATCACGTACCGGCTGCCGGTGACCTATTTTGAGCCTGAGCCTGGGCTCTCAGTCCTGAGCGGGGAGGATCTTGGGAACATTTCTGAGCACTGGACATATCAGACCCCATCCTCGGCACTTCCCATGGGCAGATAGCAACCTCCAAACCTAACTCACTGTCCTCGAGTCGATATCCACTCATAGTGACCTTATAGGACATGGTAGAGCTGGCCCTTCGGGACGCCCAGGCTTTACGGGAGCAGAAAGCCTCATCTTCCTCCTGCAGAGCAGCTGGTGGTTTCGAACTGCCGACCTATGTGCCCAGGACTCCCTCCAAGGGACACCAGAAATATTAAATGTGCTGATGGGCTTCACATGGTCATTGCTCAATGGTCATTGCTCAATAAACGCTAGCTCGTAAGGCAAACATCACTGCCGTCACTGTTGACACCAGGTACCAAGGGACTTCCATCTCTAGCCCAGTGTCCCTCAAAGTGTGGGCCCTGGATCTGCAACCCCATCTCCAGGGAGCCCCTCCCCAGACCCACTGACTCAGAAATGCTGGGGTGAGCCAACCCAGCTGTGACACTGGCTGGACAGGTAAGAGGCCTGAGATGACAGTGGGGAAGGGCCTGGCTGGCGCCCACAAGCGATGGGCAGAGTGGCCAGGGCGCAGAGACCCAGGACTGCGGGCCAGGCTTGGCTCCTTCAGCCACTGCTGGCTGCTTTTGCCTGTTGTGGGGGATGGTCCCTGCTCTCCCCTCAAAGTGAGGGGTGTGCCAAGGCCTTGGTTCCGGGGGAGCAGGCGGCTCTGTCGGCACTACTAGGCCCTTCGAAGTCTGGAGACGACTCTCCCAAAATAACTCAGCAAGACATTTTCCAGAAGCCTTTCCAGCACCCAGAGTACAGAGTGACCTGGAAACATCGGCCAGAAAGGGGCCCCCGAAATGAAGCGGTCACCGGCCCTCTTCCTCCGCTTCTTCTGCCTCGTCCTTCCTCTTCCCTGCTCCTCCTCCTCCTCCTCCTCCATCTTCTCTTTAGAGGGGCTGCTTCAGCACCTGCCGCCGCAGTCGATCTTTTGAGAAACACCAATCAAATGACACTCGGTGCCGAGCCCTGCCCTGAGCCTGAGACCCCAAAAACGTCAGCCCCCAGGGATGAGGGTGCTCACACACCCACGTGAGCAAGGTGGGCGCTGCAGAGGGGCACAGCCCTGCCCATTCCCTGATTCTCACCCCTGCAGTGCTCCCGCTGAGATCCGGGCCAAGTTGTTCAGAGCCTCAGTTTCCTCCTCCGGGAGAACAAGGCCCTGAGATGGTGCTTTTAAAGAACCTCCCACATCCACATCGTAAGGAGGAGCCCCGGCGGTGGAGCGGTGGCGCGTTGGGCTGCTAACCGCAAGGTCAGCAGTTTGAATCCACCAGCTGCTCCGAGGGAGAAAGATGAGGCTTTCGATGCCTACAAAAAGTCATGACCTCGGAAACCCACAGGGGCAGCCCCTGTCCTGTGGGGTCACTGTGAGGGGAACCCCGAGCACACAGGAAGTGTTGAATGAGAGGCAGCCTCTGATGATTAGGTTTTCATCCAGTTACCCTTGCCTTCCTGTGGGTCTGTTTCTGCTCTATGCTTTTTGTTTGCACTTGCTATTTGCTGCTTGACGGAGCCCTGGTGGCACAGTGGGTTAGGCGCTGGGCTGGTAGCCAAAAGGTCAGCAGTTCAAAAACACCAGCAGCTCCGAGGGAGAAAGATGAGGCTGTCTGCTCCCATCAAGGGTCACAGTCTCAGACCCCACAGGGGCAGTCCCACTGTCCTAGACTTGCTATGGGGCGGCATCCACTTAGTGCCAGTGATTTCCCTTTATCTCTGCACAGGGCCCTGGGCATGCTGGCTCAGAGTCTGCTCCGGGCAGCTGCAGGCAGGCAGGAATGAGCTCAAAGTGGCCTGCGTATACCCCAGAGTGAGTGCAGAGGGCCAGTGCCCAGGAGGGAGTGAGGAGCACTGGGGAGATGGTCAGGCATCGGGGAGAACTGCCCATGTGGGTTTCTGAGACTATAACCCTGTACAGGGTAGAAACCCTCCTCTCTCTCCAATGGAGCGGCCAGTGGCTTTGAACTGCTGACCTTGCAGTGAGCAAGCCCAACGAGTACCACCCCAGGGCTCCTTCAGGGTTAGGGTGGCCCTAAATTCAGAGCAGAGTCCAGGTGATGACCAGGAAGACAGACAAGCCCACATGGCCCCGCAAGCAGAGGCTGGTCAGATGCAGTCAGAGCCAAGAGATGCCAGCGGCTGGCAGCCCTCGGGCGCGAGGGGAGGGAAGGAAGGGCCCTTTTGCAGTGCGATTGGCAGGAGCCCAGCCCCCTGCCACCCCGGTCCCGGGCTTCTGGCCTCTAGAGCAGTCTGGGTGAACCCTGCTGTTTTCAGCTGCTGGTCTGTAGTGATGACTTAGGACAGCCACAGGAAATGGGCTCACGGTGTCGGCTGTCCAGACCTTGGGGTGACGTTTCCTCTCCGTCCCTGAGAGGGGCCCCTAGGGAAGGCCGTGCATGTACTCACGTCGGTGTAGATGTTGCTTCCAAACACGGGCGCCCAGTAGGACGGCTGATCTTTGCAGTTTGCGGGACAGAGGACCCTGCCAAGGAGAAGAATTGGCCTCTTGGTTACCTCCAGGGTGCACGGACACCCTTGAGAGGGGGCTGGCTCTCCCTGTTTGAATATCAGACCTTCGATTTCCACGGCGGGAAGGAGCCGACCACACCGTTTCAGTCTTCAGGGTGGGGGGAAGGGGGGACCTGCACACCCATGTTCATCCCAGCACACCCACAATGGCACGATGGAAGCCACCCAAGTGCTGCCTGTGGAGGGATGGCTAACCAAGCTCCGGGACACACACACACACACACACACACACACACACAGATACACACACACACACCATAGACACACACAGGGAGAGACACACACACCACACACACACACAGACAACACACACATACACACCACAAATACACACACAGATATACCACGAATACACAGAGACTCCGACACACACACCACAGATACAGACACACACACACACAGACACACACACACACAGTGGCGTGTGATGTGTCTGTAAGTAACCCCCGGCACAGGGACATGGATGGATCTGGAAGACAACATGCCCAGCAAAGCTAGTCCTTCCATCAAAGCCAAATCCTACACAGAAAAAAAATTAGGAAAAACGAAATTCACACAGAAAAGAGCAGACTTTGAAGGCTGTGGAAAGCCACTGTGGGGGGAGAGGGAGGGAAAGAAGGGATTTTGATACAGGACCCATGAAAAAGAACGAATTATTGGTGATCACGCACATAAAAAAAGGAACGACAAACAAACAAACATAATGCCTTCTACACCAGCAAAGGCAAAGATAGCATCTCCCCTCGGTACCCTGCCCAGACAGAAGGAAACAGACAGACACACAGAAACGTGAAAGGGGGTGGATCCTGCACTTGTGAGGCCACCTACCCGCCCCCTCCCGCGGTCGGGTGGGAGCCGGTTTGTGCTGCGAAGCCAGCTGGAGATCACAATCACTAGTTGCTGGCTCCTGTCTTTAGGCTACTTCCCCGTGCTGCGGAGGAAATGGGTGGAGAGGCCTCACCTTGGTGAGTCAGGACATTTTTCTGGGAGCCATAACTCGAGGCAGAAAGGGCGAGGTCACCTGTCCCATCAGGCACCACTGGCCTGCGGGCCTCCTAGGGATCTGAGGAGCAGCTTCACCTGGAAATGGGTGGGCCCTCGAGGTCCAAACCAGGAAAGCGGCCACGCTGTGCCTCAGAAAAGGCCTTTGTGTTCATGTGGGATCCCACACTGGGGGCTCGGGCCAGGGACCCGAGATAGCAGCCGGAAGCCATTGGCCCTGGGACTGGCAGGATTTGTGGTGGGAAGGATGCCAGAGAGAGGGATTGTAACAGGGCTGGGCAGGAGGAGGAGGAAGGGGAGGGAGGGGGGTGAGCACGGCAGACACGAGGGAGACGTGAAATCCAAGGGGCAGCTGCGTCAACTACTGGGGCGTTGGACGAGCCGTTTAGGTTATTGAATACTAAATACAAATTGTTGATAACCCCCACCGAACTCACTCACACCATACAGAGATTGTTGGAGATACACGTTAAAAAACAGCCTGAAAGGTGTGCATGTAGGCGCATGTTTGCCGGCCCCCTTCCCATTGTCTGAAGGTGTCTCTGGGGAAGTGGAGGGTTGTTTGGGGCTGGGTGCACATCTTCTCTGTTGGATCTGCTGTCGGGGTTTTTCTTTTCGTCTTTCAGAACCGATTTCCTTCTGGCTCTCTGTCACATGTGGGGAGCTCCACTAAAAGGCTGTCACCCTCCCTGGAGCTGCTCAGGGGCGTCCCCACTGGACTGGGGGACTGTGGAGCAGAGATAAATCCCCAAGGGTGGGCCAGGAGCAAAGGGAAATGAGTCAGGGACCCCCTTGGTCTCCTCTCCCTGACCAGGCCTCCTCCCCTCCAACCTCCCTGCTGGGATCTCAGGGTCTCCACCCAGTGTCTTCCCAATCAGTCTGTCCCCACAAGAATCCCAAAGTCGCCAAGCCCGGCCTTGAAATCCAACATCACCCAGCCCCTCAGAGCTTTCACCAGGCAGGCGGCCAGGGGCCTCCGCCTGCGTTTCTGCCTGTTCGAGGGAGGCACGTCCACAGCCTTCCCTGCAAGGCCACTTTTGCTTCTCCTGTCTATTTCCTGACGGCTGAGCGATCTACGTGTCTGACGTCAACTCTAAAGGGAGTCATGACATATGCCTCGGCCTCTTCCAGTTTAGGGAAGGGAGGTGGATGCGGGCCTGGCGATGGCTGTCTCTACACACAGAAGCGCATCCTTGCAGCCAGTGACGGGTGCCCCGCGGGATTAGACCTCAGTCCTGCAGAGTGGCCACCCACAACCCTTCTCCGGGCACGTGTGAGGGACAGGGAGCTCATCTCCAGGGGAGGAGTGGTGGCTGCTTCCAGGGTTTGCAAAGCAGATTCAGGGGACCTAACAGGGCAGACCCCGAGGTCTGGCCAGGGAGAGAAGAGTCCAAGGGCAGACGAGGGTAACCTCTAGAGGGAGCAGCAGAGACAGCTTCCCGGAAGCTCTCTGGAGCTCCTGGGGGCCTGGGTGTACCATGGAGTCATCTGGGAAGTTCTCACAGCACGGGGCGGCGCTCCCTTGACTGTGCGTAACAACACAGGGAGGTCCGAGAGGGCCCTGCCAGAGCAAGCCTACCAGAGCCCTTTCTCCACTAGCACCTGCTGGTGTCCTGTCTCTGTGTCCCCCGTGGGTCCTTCTCACACCCCAACCCCTTTCACCAAGCCGCTGTTCATGTCAGGCGGCCAAAGATGAGAGGCTGCGTCAAGGGACGGGGGACACACTGCCAGGAGAGACCAGTCCCTGCAGAAGCACATCATGCTTGGTAAAGGGGAGGGGCAGCGAAAAAGAGGAAGGCCCTCAAGGAGATGGGTTTGTTAAGTAGCAGGACAGGGACAGGGGGGCTGTCCCGCCACATGCCTGAAGGTCCCCTGCAGGAGGTTAGAAGAGAATCAGGAGAACCCTTAGCCAGTCACAAAAACCTACTGGGCATGCGCCAAGTCAAGCCCCAGCCAGGTGGGCAGTACACCTGGGTGGCCCAAACTAGGCCCAGGTGGGCTTAATTCAGCCAATAGGGTCAACCAATACGTTCGACCCTGCCTCCCAGCCAGAGGCCTTAAATACCTTGACTGTGAGACACCCACCCACCCCTTTCCCCCTTCTTCCCCCTTCAGCTCCTGTCCCGTGCCCACTCAGCCGTGCAGCAGTCTCCCAGCCTCGGGCCACCACATGTGGGTGTGCAGTCTCATGAGGTTGCCGTGTTCAGTGACTATAAAACCGGAAACGTCTTCCGTCCTTTATAAAAACCCACTTGGTTGGACCATACACCAGGCTTCAGCGTGAATCCTTTCTCACGCGAAGCCGAGAACCGAGGTCTTTCCCACCCGAGAAACCTCACAGATGGACACAGGGGTGGCACCAACGGACTCAAGCACAGGCACAGTCGTGCGGATGCGCCAGACCAGGCGTGTTTCCTTCCGTTGTGCAGGAGAAGGTCGCCAAGGGTCGCATGGATTTGATGGCACCTGACCACAACAAGCCAGAGCACGGTATTCACAGTCCATCCCGACTCACAGTGCCCTCTACGGTAGATCCTCACAGGAGCAGACAGCCTTGTTTTTCTCCCCAGGAGCGGCTGGTGGTTTCAAACTACTGACCTCTGGGTAGCAGCCCAACTCCTAGCCACTCGACCACCAGAGCCACAGGACTCTAAAGTCCCCAGCGTTGGTTAACTCTGACTCGCAGTGACCCTACAGGACAGACCCTTCAGGTCACTCTCTCTTTTTCCTTTTTTCAGTTTCTGAGACTTCCATCCTTATGGGAATAGAAAGTCTCATCTTTCTCCCACCGAGCAACTGGTGGGGGTTGAACGGCTGACCTTGTGGTTGGACACACAGCTTGCAAGGCCACCAGGGTTCCGGCGACAGCAGGGTCAACATAACTTTCATCAGTGTAGGAAACCTGGAAATGTGTGTGGTTCTTCCTGATCGCCACGCTTGCTCTGTGGCCGTGGTCCGCGGTATCTTCGAGGTCGGCATGTCCTCGCTGCCTGGGCCCACCCCAGAGATGCGGGTGGGATTGATCCAGGGATTGTTTACTGTTCCTGGGGGTCCTGGCGTGCAGCCAAGGCTGAGAACCGGGCCCTGAGCGTGAGGGGCTGTCTGCTAGGGCGGGCGTGTGTCAGGGTCAGGGCTTGGACATGTGAGCTTCCTGGAGGGAAAGGAGACCCCCACCCAGCATGCAAAGTGCCGCATCGAGGCTCGGAGGAGGGAAGCAAAGCCCCTGCCGCAGAGACACCCCCCACCAAGTGCCACCACCCCCTGCCCCTTTTCTCCCCTTGCCTCACCTTGGGCAGTGAGTGGCCGGCTTCTCAAACGGGCAGAGCTGTGCCACAGTGGTGTAGCAGTCCACGTCCTGCACTGAGAACAGGAAGACATGGGGAAGGGTCAGGCCCGCCCCGGGTGCCTGCCATCGCCTCAGGCTGCCGGCCTGAAGAGTGAGCTACTAGGGCCCCATAGGGTCACTCAGGCAGGGCCGGAGTGCGCTCCGGAGCTCCCCAGGGGTCAGAGGTCCTTCTCCTCCCAGCAGGGCTTTCCCAGGGCCCCTTCTCTGTCCCACACAGCCAGGGCGACAGCAGTTCCTCAAATCACACATCTGTGAGAGGCAAGTCTCAGAGAAGCTCAGAGGCCCCGGTGAGAGGCCGTGCTGGGAGTCTCGGGCCATCGCTCTGTCCAGGCAGCTGCAGGACCCCAGTCCCATCGTCCATCACTGTGAGAACATGGACATCTGTTCTTCGTTACCCGCCTCCCCCCGCCCCAAGCCCACAGCCTGTTGCCTGTGGTATTTTAATAAAAGTAGGAAATGGTGGGAGCAGAAAGCCTCATCCGGGAGCCTGTGGGTTATATGCTGGACTGCTCACCGGAAAGTCAGCAGTTCGAACCCACCAGCAGCACCACAGGAGAGAGACTTTCTGCTCCCATAGAGACTGACAGCCTCAGAAACCCACAGGCGCAATTCTAGACTGTGCGTCAGAACTGACTCGATGGCAGTGAGATGTTGTTTCTGATGTGGGACATGGGATCATTGCCGGGACACCCAGCTCTCCAGCTCGGGGGTGGGGTGGGTGGTGGTGGTATGTATGTATGTGTGTGTGTGTGTGTGTGTGTGTGTGTTTCCACTCATCAAAATGCCTCAGGCAGTGGCTTTAGTTACCATGAAACCAGACCTTGTTTACAGGACCAGGTGAGCCAGTGGGAAGCCCCGGTGGCCACTACTCACTCTGCTGCTGCAGCAGGGAAGAAGCCACGTGCGCATGAATGAGCCTGGCTGTGCTGCAATAAAACTTTATTGACCAAACAGGCAGCGGCGGGCACACAGGCTGAGACAGGCAGGGTTCTCAGGTACGCGAACCATTAAGCCCATCAAGACGGAACATCCCACTGAAACCCAAAGTCACAGAACAGACCGGCCAGCTTACCTTTCACCCTGGAGACCGTGAAGGAGCTGGAAGCCTTGTACTTGCTGCAGAAGAAAGCACAGAAGGTGGTCAGCTTCTCCACGCACATGCTGGCTCCCACGCCCACTGACCGACACCCTGGGCCCTGCCTGTCCCTGGGTGTCACACCACAGCCTGGGAAGCTCCCAGAACCCTCCAGAGCAGGGCTGCTTACCCTTCCTTGGTGCCCTGGGCCCCTCCACTGGCACACGGACCCCCCCCCCCCTCCTCGGAATCATGGCTTGACCGTGGGTACAATACATTCAGAAGATGACAAAGAGAACCCGTTACAGAACACTAAGTCATTTTGGGGGCCTGCGGAGATCTGTGTCCCACCTTTCTTTGGTTTTGCCTAAAATAGCAGCCAACTCGAGGGGCATGTGTGGAAACATCTGCAGAACCGAGGGTCACCTGCCAACAGCACTGGTTGGGGTGGGGGTTGGGTGATGGAACAGCATGCATGATGGAAGGGGGGGCTGCTTCTCAGTGAGAAGTGAGTGAAGACAGAGCAGTAGCTTTCTTTCTGTGTTGGTGGCCCTGTGGTTCCATGTTGAGCTGCTAACTGCGAGGTCAGCAGTTCGAAACCACCAGCCACTCCGAGGGAGAAAGACGAGGCTAGGGCTAGCTGGAGTTAGGTCACAGAGGAAGAAGCCCTAGTGGTACTGAGGGTTAAGGGTGGGACTGAGAGAGAGAGAGAGAGAGAGAGAGCACTGTTCCAACCCACCAGCTGCTCTACCGGCTGCTGCTTCCGTGGCACTTTCTGGCCTCGGCGCCCCTATGGGGCACTTCTGCTCTGTCCAGTGGGGTCACCATGAGTTGGAAATTGGCTCGTGGCAGTGGGCTTTTGGGTTTCAGAGCAGGTGGAACTGGAAGACCCTGGCTGGTGATTCTGGTTAACAGGTTGTATTAGAGGTGGAATTCTGAGCACCCTGGTTTGCATAAGGCTGTGGTTGACCGTGACAGTCCAAGGTCAATTTGCAGAGTCCCCACAGAGATCAAGGTCCATTGACTTCTTCCGGGTCATTCACGAAGGATATAGATCATCTCTCCCTCAGGCACAGCGCCGGGGAAAGCAGATTACCTCCCCCCACCTCTCCAGGGGCAGGCTCTCATAGAGGGTTGAGTGGGTATGTCCTTGATGGGGTTCACTGCACTGGGGACAGGAAGGTTGGGGGCAGGACAGGGGAAGGGGGTCCCATCATCATGCAAGAACCAAACTCACTGCCCTGCGATTGATGCCGACTCTTGGGAACCCTGCAGGACAGGCTAGAGCTGCGCCTTTGAGTGCCGTGACAGGAGCTGTTTACAGGAGGCTCGGACTGTCCTTGTCCCGGAGAAGCGGCTGGTGGCTTTGAACTGTTCAGCTTTCAGATCACAGCCCAATACGGAGTTCCTGCCACCAGGGCTCCCACACAGTCAGTCACCAGTCATGCCCTATCCATCGAGCCCTGCCTGCCAATCTTGTGAGCTCTTCTCTCTAACGATGTACGTCTGTGTCCCAACAGCTGTACTGCCCCTGCTTCTGTAGTCCCACTTGCAACGGTGATGTGCTGATGAGCCGCCACCCGTGGGTTGGTGACAGTCCCCTTTGTCCTGCGCCTTACGTAACAAGCACCCCCACTGTGAGTCCTCAGATGTCATTTTGATTGCGTGCCATGGCCTCCCTCACCCCGGTGATGTGTCTGTGTCTGCTCCCTAAGACTTCAATAAACGCTCGCCTTTGATTGGCGGTTCTCAACCTGTGGGCCGCGACCCTTTCACAAGGGTCGCCAGATTTATCACAGTAGCAAAATGACAGTGATGAAGTAGCAACAAAAATAATTTTATGGATGGGGGGTGGTCAGCATGAGGAACTGCATTGAAGGAAGGTTGAGAACCACTGCCTTAGACCCTATTGAGATTGTAGTCTCTGGCATCCTAGAACACTGTGCATGGCCCAGCTGCTAGCTGAAAGGCAGGCCATTTGAGTCTGCTCGCTCAGATGTGCCTTGGAAGAAAGGCCTGGTGATCTTCCCCTGAACCCCCGAGGCTTGGGCAACCCCGTGGGTTGTCCTGGGCTGCCCGGACACACGGAGAGTCCTCACCTCAGAGACTCCACACCGTGCTTCTCGGACTTCACAAAGAAGGGGACCCTCCCGTTCCTGGTGATGTCCACTAGGCCTCCATTGTCGTCGATGACTCCGTAGTGGATGGCGGCGCGGCAGATGCTGGACTCCTGGATGACGGGGTCGGGTGGGGGTGGAGGGGGGGACAAGACCACAAAGATATCCTGAATTCTCCTTTGTCAGGTTCCAGAAACACCTGCGGTGTCTGACCGTGGCCCGCTGGAAGCCAGAGAGACAGCCTCCCCCACTTGGCGCGTCCCTTCTCCATAACGGGTCTTTGTCCGTGGGGCCGCTTATCTCAGAAAGCTCCTCGGAGCTGCTTTACGGACTAAGTCGGCTGACAAGCGGCCCTTTCTCCCCTGCCAGTGGAGCATATAACACCTGTTCCAGGTGGAGACAGCTCCCTGCCTGGGTCAGCCCCAGCTGCCGAGAGCCCTGCAGGGTCAGTCATGAGAATGCGGGGCCTACCTCCGGAGGGACAGGAAATGCTTGTCCTACAAAGCCCCCAGCCTGGCTGCAAAACAGAGTTTAAAAGACAAACAAAATCTGGCCCCACTTACACTCTCGTAAAAGATGGTCCCGAAAATCTTGGCCTTGTTGTTCAAACATCCTGCTGGGCACTGATACCTGGGGGAGGAGAGGTAGCGAGGGCAGAGGTAAGCTCACGAGGAACTGGGGGCTCTCGCTGTCAATGGCTCTTTTGTTGTTAGTCTGTCTGCACATGTCATGCACCTTTGCACTTCGTACTGCCGCTCTCACCCGGGGCCACGGAGTCAGGTTGACTCACCACAGCCCTGTGCACAAGAGAAGGACCACTGCCCAGTCCAGGGCTGCCTCCCCGTGCCATGAGGTCTGAGACCAGTGTTGTGGCCACGAGGGCCACCCTGCCTTCCTTGATGCCCTGCCTGCTTTTTGCTGCCCCTCAGCATGACCGAGCACAATGTCCTTCTTCAGAGCCTGGTCCCTACTGATGACATGTCCAAGGTACATGGTGAGACCAAGTCACTACTGATGTGGCGAGACCGGCGGCCCCCCTAATGCGGATGACAGCCTGGGGACCTGTGGGACAGCTCTACTCTGTCCAACCAACAGGGTCCCTCGGACCCGGAGAGGCCTGGAGGTGCTAGACGGGTGGGTGGTGTAGGGGTGAAGCCTTTAATCAGCAGACACTTCTGGGATTGGGAGTGGACACCCAGAAGCTGGCTGGACCCTCTAGGTCAGCTGTCCTGACTGGGGGAGACTTTACCCTCTGAGAGGACAACTGACCATACCTGGGGGCACTTTGGGTTGCCACCTGGTGGATCAAGCCAGTAGAGGCCAGGGATGTTGCTGTGTATCCTACAGTGAGCAGGGGACCCCACGACCCCCCAAGAGAAATCTACCCCCACTATGTGGGCAGAGTTGACGCTGCCACAGGGGGGCCACTCGGGGACTCGGGGCACAGTCAGCCCCGCCGACAGCATGAGGGAAACTGAGTCAGTCCCCCTGCTCCAGCAGGGCGCCTTCTGTGCCCCAAGCCACGAACAAGCACTGCTCTCCCCAGCTTGGAGTGGAGTGGACCGCCGGAGCCTCCAGCGGCCACCGTGAGACTCACCTGTTGCACGTGGACCCCTTGCACCTGTCCCTCAGCTTGGTGTCGCAGCGCACGACCTGGGCTGGGAGAGGGATGTGCAGAGGTGTGTCAGCACAGGACCCTTGCAGGGTTGGGGAGCCCTGGTGGCCTAGTGGTGATATGCTGGGCTGCCATCTGTAAGGTCAGCAGTTCAAGGCCACCAGCTGCTCCTCTGGAGAGACGAGGCTTTCCATTTGTCAGAAACCCACAGGGGCGGTTCTACCCTGTCCTGTTGGGTCGCCATGAGCTAGAATCAACTGAAGGCAGCGAGTTTGTTTTTGGGGGGTTGGGAGCAGCTGGGTCACAGCAGAGGCCACGGGGTCTGCAGGAACCAGATCCATGCTGCCAGGCTCACACTCTTCCTTGGAGGGCAGGGGGTGGGCAGCATTGCCAAGAGGAGCACAATTTCAACCCAATGCCCTGGAGAGACTCAGGGAAGGGCTAACCTAAAAATACCTGCTTGGGCCTGGGAATGAATGCCACCCAGGTGTGGCTCCTCTAACGCTTGCGTTTAAAGATGACTTAAAAATATCATCCCCCCCCAAAAAAATATTTTTGTTTTGTTTTAGAGTTATGGCATTTTGCAAGCCACTCCCTGCCTGATTCTCCCCTGTTGACGGACTTGGAGATTTCCAGGCCCAGCGCCTCCCCTGCCCCCATCCCCAGAGGTGGCTCGAGGGCACCCCAAGGCAGGCACCCACCCATGTAGCTGACCACGGAGGCACGGCTGGGCTTGGTGGGCCTGACCGCCCTCGGCTGGACCCACGTCTCCTCGGGGAGAGGCACCGTCTCCACCTCGTTCGTCTCCTCGGTTTCCGGCGTTGGGTTGAAGGTCTCCTCTGCATTATGAAGAGGGAAGATGGCCGTGGTAACTGATGGACACATATGCTTGATACAAGGGATGTGTGGGGTGGCATAAGAGCCCCCCAATAAAGAGGCTTTTTTAAAAAAGAGAGACACACACACTCACACGCCCCGGGGGAGTCCATGGAAACGCACTTTAAAAAGAAAGGGGGACGCGTTGAGAAGGAAACTCGTGTGAGGTTTGGCTTCACAAAGAATCGTTTCATCTCTGTTGCCTGGAGAGGAGATGCCTCCGGCTGGGAGGTAGGGGTGGGGGTGGGGTGGAGGGGGGATTCTATCACCAGGAGGAGCCCTGGGTTGGCTCCACTCAAAATGCTGACTCTGGACTCCGGAGTTGCTGGGCTGATGAGGCGAGGTCAGCCCCCCACCTGGGTGACTGTGCCCGTTTCCTGTCCCACCACCCTGCCCCCAGAAGCAGGCTTACAAAGATGTCTCATCTTTGCTCCCTGGGGCAGCTCTGAGGAGGGGAGTCCGGCCTTCCTCCCATGTGACCCCCTCATGGTGTGGGGAGTGGGGGCCCACAAGCAGTACCCACCCCTTCTCCACCCTGGGGAGCCAGATGCAGCTAGCCAAGACCGGTCCTCTCACTGGAGTGGTCTGGGTGCTGGGCTGCTAACCACACGGTCAGCAGTTCGAGACCACCAGCCACTCCAAAGGAGAAAGATGAGGCTTTCTACTCCCATAAAAAGCTACTGCGTTGGAAGCCCAGAGGGGCAGTTCTACTCTGTCCTGTAGGGTCCCCAGGAGTCGGAATCGACTCCGTGGCGGTACACTTGGGTTTGGGTTTGGTTCCTTTCTCAGCGTGGGGCCCCAGTGCCCAGGAACCTCGGAGCCCCATGGGGCCCGTCCAGGCTGAGTCATTGAGGGAGAGCAGGATCCTGGCGGTGATCGTGGTACGCTTGGCTCTGTCCTACGTGGCGTGGCCATGAGCCAGCGGGGACTCCTAACAGGATGCTGGCCGCGGCCCCCACGCTTGCCCCAGCTCTACACTAGGGCAGCCCGCACGTTTCACAGCCCCACGGGACAGAGTCGGAGGCAAGCAGACACCTCTTCTTCTGCCCCTGCCCCTGCTTCTCCATTCAGGGCTACAGCCTCCCTGGATACCCTCCCTCCCTGAACATAGGAAGGAGTTCCTGCAGACATGCTGCCTGGGGGGACACTTTCTGCTGGCGAAGAGAAGCAGGAAGTTGGCCAGAGTCCCTGGGCATTTTCCACCAAAATGAAAGTGCACAGGGCTTTTTTTGTGGCGTGGCGGCCCTGGCCACTCAGGCACTCCAGCTGTGGGCTGAAGGCCTCAGAGGGGACCCAGAAGGCTTGGCTCAAGGACAGTGCCTGTACAGGAAGTGGAGCTCTCTGTAAGGCAGGGAGCTGGCCGTGGGGCTCTGTGTCTGTAAGTCAGGGAGGACACCCTGAAGGTGGGGCTCTGAGTTTGTAAGTCAGGGCGGACTCCCTGGAGGTGGGGTGAGGAGCTGCCTAGTAGGGGCTACCCTCTGACAGGACTGGGGCTGGATGAGAACCCCCAGTGTGGGAGGTGGACGGTGCTCCCCACCAGGTCAGGGTTCCCCTGGCTTCTCCTGCAGGTGCAGGGCTCTGTGCAAGGGTTCTGTACCCTCTGGCATATGGCCCATGGTGAGAACAGACGGGAAAATGAGGCTTAGAGTGGGCAGGGGTGTGCCTGAGTGAAAGGGACAGCCCTGCGGCTGCTCAGGCCCCTGGCTTCCACCAGGTGCCTGCTCGGTACAGCTGGAGCATGGCTGAGTGACAAGACTGGATCAGGACACAGAGCTCTGGGTGCTCCCAAGGGCACTGCCCCTCACCCGTGTCCAGCCCAGCAGCCAAGGCCCCTCCATGTGACACCCCCCCCCATCAGTCACCAGGACCCCTGCCTGAGTAGGAAGATGGAAGGAGCTCCAGTATGCACCCCTGGTTTCAGATGGGGTGACTGGGGCTTGGGGGATGGAGGGGCTCCTCAAAGCCATGAGCAGCCCCTCTGCCTGCTTGCCCCGGGAGTCCAGGAATCAGAGGGGGAAGGGCACGCGGAGAGACTGCTTCCAAGATGGGGCGTGGAGAGCCTGGGAGGTGAGGCAGAGGCCCGTGGGATGGGGCGCTCCATGTCTGAAGCACCCAGCCCCGGCAGGAGGCAGGAAGCCCCACAAGCAGGCCTGCATACCTGTGGGGGATTTCTATTGTCCACACCCATCACCATGCCTCCAGACTGGTATACATGCTGTTCCTCCTTCCAGAAATGCCTGCTGCTCCCTCCTCCCTCAGAGCTCCAGGATTCTGACTTCCCTGGTAGACCTCAGCTTACTCTGCAATGTGTTCTGCCTCTCAGAGCCTCAGGGGATCCTCCATCCCAGACTGAGGTCTTGGATTGGGGGGG